GGGCTCAGAGGTGGACTCGTCCATCACCCAAGCTGAAGTCACTGAGGTAGTTAAGAAGCTTCTCGGTGGCAAGGCACCGGGGGTGGATGAGATCCGCCCTGAGTACCATAAGTCTCTGGATGTTGTGGGGCTGTCTTGGTTGACACAAGTCTGCTTAGTTGACACGAGTCTGCAAAGTCGCATGGCGGTACTATACTGTAGAAAACAATGACTTCTGGGAAGTGTTTATGGGCAGCCCACCCTTTCCCATAAAACACTGCAATATACTGGAAACAGCGTTGCATTCTGGGAGTGATGTTAGAATCAACGGCAGAGAGGCAGCGCAAATACAGAACGTTACTGTATTTCTCAAGGACGCATGCAAAGCAGACTTGGAGCCAATTTTCTTTGAGGACTGTCCATCTGAATCTTACAATTTTGAAGCAAATCACAGGGTAAGCTGAATTACATTTCATCTGTCTGCTGATGTTTGCTTACCAACATCATATTAGCCATCAAATAAACTGCAACTGATTAATAACTTTAGCTAACAGCTCAGTAAGCTAGCTTGCAGAAGTATTATTGTGCTTCTATTTTGGGGATTTTGGAATTTCTCCCCTCTTTTCTGTGAATTTTTAGGTTAACACATTTCTGGTCTGCTTTAAGTAGGTCTGTCTATGAGAGGGAAATTGCCAGGTGGTTTACTTTAGCTTAGTTGTAAATAGAAAAGAAAAAGCTGTAATGTCCTTGCAAGTGTGTGTGTAGCCTAGAAAATAATAGTTACAGTGCTCTTCTGTCAAAGCCTTTATCAGCATTGTTATTGAGTTGTGATGACACACTGAACTAAAACTTTTTTTTTGTTTTTGAATTAAACCTGTCTTTCCCCTACAGTCATCTGCCACAGTGGCTGATGTTGAGAGGACCCTCACACTACCACCAACTCCTCGTCCAATATTGCTCAGTACGTATTCATTGAAATGAAACTGTTTATGCTATATCAGATGAGCTTTTACAATTATTTATATCCTAGCAAAGCATGCACATTCTTCCATGTAAAGATATACAAGTTAACATAAGAAATTTTTTTTTCTTTTCAGCCTCTAATCTTGGACTAATGTTTTTCAGGCGACTCATTGGAATCAACCCAGAAAAAGGGACCAAGGCCAGCCAGGGTAAGATAGTCTCCAAGAGGACAGGGAAAGTTATTCAAAAGAAGTCAGTCACAGTCAACCCCCGTGTGTCCACTCTTCTAAAGAACCTCAGACTTTGAATCGAATTTCATTGGCCAGTAAGCGATCTCTACCCAGTTCACATCAACACAGCCATGGTTAGTTCCCAATTTTTGTCATTGATTACATGTTCTCCTGTCTACTAAATATGCTACTCACCACTTGAAAAATGTGGGTATTTATGTTGTAGAAGACTGAAGAAAAACTATGAACCAGAAGGGAATATGTTCACTTGTCCCAGGACAGGAGTGTTCTTGTATATGTTTAGTTTTACCTTTTAAGGTCACTTTGTATAAAAACAGTCAGCAGAATATTGGCAGACACTTAATCACATCTAATCTGAAAGAGTATTCTCTTTCCGTTTTAAAATAACCATTTAAGTTCAACTAAGAGTTAACCTAAGACTGTTGCCTTAGTTTGAAGGGAGGATGTGTCTTGCCAATGTTGTGAAATTTATTGTATTATAGCGATTTGTCTGATTGAGCAACTTTTTGCATAAAGTACTATTCAAGTCTGACTGGCTAGATTTTACACCATTTAGATAATGAAAACAAAAGAGGAAGAAAAGAGAAAAAAACAAATGGAAATCTTTTTCATATTGTTCAATTTGTCTAAGCATCTAAGTCTTTTTTCTTTTAGATTAAGGATTGGACTTAGATATTTTTCAGTGCCACTGAAATTACTCAGTGGCATGTTGCAAAAAAAAAAAAAAAAAAAAAAAAAAGCTGATTACTGTTGTGTTGTGCATACTTGAAATTTACAGCTGTAATGAATTTTTTTTATGCATTTACAAATTAAAGTACAGTTTTCAATTGATGCTACCTCATGAAAATAATGTTACATAATTGATTTGTATTTTCTAAATCTCTTCTTTCCATTTAATTTTTTATTTCTGCATGTTAGTTAAAATCATTATGTTGAAGAAAATATCACAGTAAAATTGGTATTGTCAATGCTGCCACTAATATGCTCCATTTACAGAAATGACGGTATTGTATTCGGATTATGGTGAAATCCCATTGTTAATGTGGCTACCTTACCAATAATATACTGTAATTTCAGTAAAATACAGCATGATACTGTGTTTTAGTATATGGTATTATAACAGTAATGCTGTAGAAAAAAACAGTAATGTACTGGCAACCCTGCTGCCTGTAGATTACTGTAAAATTAAGAATATACAGAAATCTATAATTTAGAACATGACATTATTACAGTAAACTATAAAACAGTAGGAGAACTGTAAAATAAACAGTCAAATACTGGCAGCAGGGTTCCAGTATTTGACTGTTTTACAGTTTACAAAAGGCCTAACCCCAGAAGCTAAAATACTATGCTTGAGAAGAAGTTACTCCCCACTCAATACAGTGCAGAACAGGAGTAAAAATGGTCAGAGGCCAACAGGTTAGAAAAGACCCATAAACAAACATCAGATGCCTCGTCTCTCAGAGTTAGCATGGTAAGACGGACCATACCCTACACTCTCAAAGAATATTGTTTTCAAGAGGTCAAATTCTTCCAACCCCACAAGCACCAGATTACCACCCCCAGATAAGTCCGCAAACACACAGAGGCGTTGGTTTTGTCCACAAAAATAAGAATTTGAGTCAATGTATAAGTTAACAGTAAAACAATGTTTTAAAAAAAGGCCTAAGCCCAGAAGCTAAAATACTGTGCTTGAGAAGAAGTTACTCCCCACTCAATAAATACAGTGCAGAACAGGAATAAAAATGGTCAGAGGTCTACAGGTTAGAAAAGACCCATAAATAAACATGACCAAAACCACTCCAAACCAAACATAAGAGGGTCTTGCCTTCTTGCAAACCATTTACATGCGGCTCATACACCATAAAACTTGGGTACTATACGATGAACAGGAAATATAATGCTGAATAAGCTTCTTAACATAAAAGCACGCAAAGCAGCAGTGCTTATCACTTCTCCAATGGGTAAAGCCACTGTTAATAAACAGCATAAGAACAATTAAAACCACCAGCACTACAGATTACCTTGGCTGCGCGTCGCCCCAGCACAGCATGTGCAACGGACGCCAACTTCTGCAGGATCACACTTACATCAATTATCACCCATGTAGAAGCAGGTGGTCATCCCCTAAACAATCTACAAACAAAACAAACTAATTAAGCACTTTACACCGCAACAGATCTGATATACAGTCAGTTCGATGGACATACCTCAAAGGAAAGCTGGACACAAATCAACGGAGGGAGATTCACTTCAAAAAACGATCACAGCGGCGACAAGCACAGCAATTGCTCATCACAACGGCGTCTCCAGGGGCGGCATTTATATCCGTAATCAACCCAAATTGCTCACCTGGCGGTATAGGCCTGGCCAACCCGCCGGTTACATCAGCAGGTATCGGATCTACCATCAGCGAAAACGACCAGAACACATAACTATTCGGCCGCCCTGCCCCGCACTAAACCAGTCTTCCGTCCCCGGCGGCCGGACCTGACATTTAATCATTTACTTGCATGTCACAGGAGGAGCGAGGCCCGGATCTGCTGCAGTACACGTCGCCCCTGTCCCCGTGCCTGCTCGCTTGGCTCAGCTTGTCCCTCCAGTCAACTGGCTGTGGATTAAAGCGTAGAGCCCCTCCTTCTCCACCGCGACATCAGAGCGGATTAGCGATGCAGAAAGCGTCTTTACAGCCACTGCTGATGTTGGTGGTGCAGACACAAACAGCCCTAGACGACCGTGAGTGGCGATTCATCCCACCTAACGTTTAGTCACCACCTGCAGCCTGTAAAGTGCTGCTGTGGTTCAGCCCTCCTGATGCAGCAGAATGCTGTTATACCTATGGTCTGCCGCTGGTGTCGCTGTTATCTGCCAGCACCTGTCTGGTTTAATCACAATGCTCCCTAAAACACCTGCTAAGAGCTGGACAGGTAGAAAAAGTAGCATCCATGTTAGTTCTGTTAGTGCCAAGTTGTCTCAGACCATCTACATTTCCTAATGGGGGGGAGAGTTCTGTTCTAAACCTGGGACACTGTAAAATTTATGTTAAAAGGCCTAAATCACTTTAATTCATGCCATCCAAACTTCACAATCATCAAACAAACAGAGTAATAGTTTTGATGCATTTATTACAAAGACATTAAGTAGCCTATATTATCACATCTGTCATGCAAATTAGATGTGAAGTGAAAGGTAACATCTTAAAAAAATTAAAATGTCAAACCATTTAAATGAGGGAACACCTACAACTGTAACAGGCACGTTTGAAGGCAACATATTAAACCTGAATCTGCCTAAAACAGTTGTTTACAGCACACTGTGTTAGTGTGCACAGTGACTGAACAACCTGTAATGCATAGACCTAATAACATCAACCTCCAGAAATTAGCTCATTGGGAAACAAGCAGTCCTTGGTTATCAAGGAGCCACCACATCATTGTCTCATTTCTGTCTTTTTCTGTTGTGATCTGATGGATATTTCACTGAATTAATCAGTAATCATTGCATCATTCTGTACTCAGACTTTTATCCCCAACATTATCCCTGACTTTAAAAAGGGTCCTCCCTCCACGAAAAAAAAAGCCACAAAAAACAAAACCCTCCTAACATTTTAATTGTATATAATCAAATATAATAGTTTTAATATAGTTTTAATTGTAATTTGTATTTTAAAGAATTAATGGGTTATAACAGTTTCAATAAAATCTGATATTCCAAATTAAAATGTAAATTTATGTAGAAAATCACGTAAAACCATTTCACTCCTGGCTTGTTGTTCTTTGTTCTTGTTCTTACATGACATGGATGATATAAAATGCAGTAACTAATCTGGACAACAAGAACATTCTGAGCATGTTTTGATGTCACTCATTTCCTGGTAGGGCAGATCAATGGGGTCTCTGTCTACACTGCTGCGCCCCTAATGCATTCTCACCTTAGTCACGTGCAACCCTCAACCAGAGCAGCCGTGAGCCGTTACCGTGACAACAACGCATGACGGAGGACAGTGGTGTGTGGAGTAGTAACCATGGCATTCAATCTGCTATTGCCATCTCTGCACCCACACGTTTTTGATCCCACACAGACAGCCTGCAGGCTTCTATAAAAGACAGGCTGAGAGCCTTTGGGTGAATGTGGAGGCATGTGTGGCACATTTCTAAGACACGAGCCAATCAAAACGCTCCAAAGTTTATAGTGTAACTTGCAAAATCTGGACATCAGAGTATATCTGAAGTAATCTTATCACTTCGCTGCTCGCGTTAACTCATGTTATGCAGTTTTCATGTTCTCAGTCCAATTCGCTGCTGTTTCCAGAGAACACACCAACAGTGTGTGGTCCTCTTTCTCTGCATATGTGGCAACAGTGTTTGCCATGCAGTGAGCACAGACTGAACCCATTACTGGAACTAACACACAATGTTTCATGACATCTTTTAATGCAGAAACCCAGCGGCCTCAGTTTAAAATGCACACTTCAGGTTCCGCTATTTTCACGACACACACGGGGTCTACGTGCTAGGACCTGGGCTTTAAAGCCTGTCTGCAGGTGGTGGTCTTCAGCACAGTGAGTGGGGACTGACAGCATGAGGGTTTTCATAAAGTAACACTTTGTTGTCATTATATAGCCTAGACCATTTGGCTGTTAATGGCCTTGCTCACGGGCACAGTAGTGGCATTGATAGAAGGGTAAGTGTTGCTGTTTCACTTTATTCACCAAGATATTTCTGGCCGGTCCAGGAATAAAAGTAATAACACACAAACCTGCTTGTCTTACCTGTAGGCTACCAGTGACTTACAGTTAATTAAAAGCTTTTATTTTTGTTATAAATTAATGGCATGCTAATCATTTGCAAATGATCTGTGGACATTTGTTAATGAGTAAGAACTACTATTTTAGAGAACGCTCTAATGCTAAATACTAATAACAAGTAATTTGTGAATTACCAGTAAATAATTTAGTTACTACATTAATTTATTTTATACATTATCCAACAGGGATGAATGGATGATAAAAGCTTCACAATTGTTGTGTGTTGTTAGCATGATAGATGGATTTTTACAGAAATTAGATTTGTCATATAGTATATGCAATTGTAGAGGCCTGGAAATAGTGATGGGAAAAAATAGACACTCCTAAAATTTATTTTCTTACTGTACTATTTTATTTTTACTGCTGACATTCATTTGGTTCCTATGACATCTCTTTTGAGTTGGGCATATTTCCTATATTGGTCAGTAGATGGCCATGACAAGTAGATGGCGCATGACGCGCAGAAGTGGTAGAGAGTAGGCTTGGGGCACGCCAGAGGAAGAACCATTCCTCTCCTGTGAAATAAACCTTCTGAAGCGTGTCCTCTGTGTACCCTCTATCCCAGGCTGAATGTTAAGAGTTAGATGCAAACGGTAGGAGTTGTATGGTGTCAGAGATGAGGTTGGTTCATGTGAGGTTGGGTGAAATGGGTTTTGTGGTGGAATTTTGAGTTAACAGTGAAACGTGTTGTAAGAGAACCTGCTAATGCTAATGGTCAATTTAGGGGGATATGTAAGGCCTTCTGTAAGAGGTCAATCTCAGTGGGATGGATGTTACATCTGTGGAGATTTTGGACATTGGGCCCGTGACTGCCCCCACCGGGGAGGCCAAGAATTACCACAGCAGCAGCAGCAAGCTGAGGCTCCGGGGCACCAAGCAACA